CTACATCGAGCGGAGCCACTCGCTGTTGGCGCAGAAGCACCTTTTTCAGTACAAGTAACACTGCCAGCATCAGGAGAGCGACTAACACGCACAGCACGGCGAGCAGAGAGACGACCACAGCGGAGTCTTGTTGCGTGTGTGGTCGGGGGTCGGGGGTGGGCCAGGGTGCGTCTCTGTTAGTGGAGAGCAAAGATCGTGTCCCTTCAGCAGAGGTCACGTTTATTTGAGGGTACCGACTTGTGATGTTGTCTTTACATTTCTGTTGCACATCAGGGGTGGACGTAGTGGGTTTTAAATGAGGTGGGCTGACTGTTTTATTGAGGGACAAACACTCCTCATAGGTGAGGCTCTCTAAAGAGTAGTGTTCAAGTAATACTCGAGTCTTGGGAGCATTTTTGGAAAGGAGTCCAGCCGTGGTTTCTTGTGAGATTTGCTTTGACAGCCTCTTGTTTTCAGGTGAGTTTGGTCCCGTGGGCTCCACCGTCAGCGTCTCCAGCTTCCTCTCCAGGTCAGAGCTGAGGTTCAGTTGAAGTGTCCTCTCATTCAGGACACGAGGACAGATAGCCATGACGGAGAGGTTCAGAAGCAGACGGTGGGCGAGGTGGACCGGCTCGGTGCACACCAGGTCTGTGGCCATCTTCAGCCTGCCGCTCAGCAGCCAGCGGTACAGATACAAAATGTCACACTCGCACACCCACAGGTTGTTGTTGAGGTCCACAGATCGGAGACGAGGCAGGCCGTCGAAGGCGCTCTCCGGGACTGAGCGCAAGCAGTTGCTGTTGATCTTCAGGACCTGCAGGTTGACCAGAGCGGACAGCGAGGGCAGGTCCAGGACAGAGATGCAGTTTGCTGAGAGGTCTAAGTGGGTCAGTGACGGAGGAAGGTCCAGAGGGAGGCTTGTGAGCTTGTTCCCCTTCAGTGTCAGGACCTGCAGCTTGTTGAGAGCCTGAAGTGCCCCAGGTTGGATGGCACGGATGCGGTTGTCCTCCAGATCCAGGCGAGTGAGGTTCCCCAGTTGCCGCAGGGCGCCTGAGGTGATGTAAGTGATGCGGTTTTCTTGCAGCAGCAGGGACTCCAGGCTGGGAGGCAGGCCGCGGGGGAAGCGGGCCAGCAGGTTGTGACTGAGGCTCAGCTCCTGCAGGCCAGACAAGGGCCGGAGCAGGTGGTCCACGTTACAGAGCTGGTTCCTGGCCACAGATAGAGCCGAGGTGCTGAGAGGGACAGAGCGAGGAAGAGACTGCAGACCCAGGGACTCGCACAGAACCAAAAATCCTGGGCGAGGACAGCAGCAGCCAGGAGGACATGGAGACATTATGAGGCAGGCTAGAGGACAGACGCAGAGAACCAGTAGGACACCACATCTGCACCAAAGCATGACTCACTGCGAGGAATAATGAGAGACGACCACATCAGATACACACAGAGCACATGGTATCAGGACACATGCTGAGGAACTCTTAAAGGGGCAAATAAGTAGAAATGAATGGCTTTATTAATGGTCAATAAATAATGCTTTATAGATCAGTTATGAGACATAAGAGGCTCCTCCAGCACACACTTTGTCTATTTTTTACTTTTCATTTTCACTTAAAATGAAACAAAATGTATCATTTTTAATAGCTCTTTTTAAGTTGCATAACATAGGTAGGGGAGGGATTTGGCTTTAACAGCATTACTAATCTATTTTTGTTAAAGATCCAGTGTGTAGCATTAAGGAGGATCTATTGTCAGAAATGGAAACTAATATTAACAGGTATGTTTTTATGAGTGTATAATCGCCGCTGGTCTCCTTCCATGTCGTACCGCCATGTCGTACCTCCATGTTTCTACAGAAGCCCAGAAGAGACAAACCTAACACTGGCTGTTGATATTTTTTTAGATGTGAGTTTTGTGGCCACCGTAGTTTCTCCTACACACTGATCTCATTCCCAGGTTGTCAAACACAGACCCGACCAGTGTCCAGTTAGCTGCAATCTTCAACTTATCGAAAAGCCAAAAAAATTCAGGTCTTTTGAGAAAACATTCGGGACTGATGGACTGTTTGACCTCTAACCTTCTTTGAAAAAAGCATTTACAATTGCAGACTTGATAGATTACTAAAAGATCCACATATTAATGAATTATTAACATGTTTAATTGCTGATTAACTACTTTTGCTGTTGGCTTCTGAATTTACAACCAATCAGCATTTATAACTGATTGATGGCTTATTAGAAAGTGAGACACATGCTAGAAAGAAAACATTCTCATCACTTTATTAACCATTTATAAAACCATTATTACCAACTTATTAACCCCTTTATAAAGGGTTATTAAAATAGCAAATAAATAAATAGATAAAGGCACTTACCATTTTTCTATTCCTGTATTATCTGCTCCTCTGAAGAGATGGGCAGGTTTGTCACCCCGGGCTCCTCACATGATCTACAGATATAACTACTGCTGCTTGAGAATTCCCGGCAGATGCTCATCAAAGTTTAACGACAGCCTTAAGGTGCTGTATTACCTATTCTGGATCCTCTTCACCATTCAAATTGATTGAGATGTCTTATTGTTTGTCAGTGGCTGACAGTGAAAATGGCCAAACTACATATAGAAGTTCAGCGAGAGTTATTGTGCAAAAAGGAAGGAAAAATACAGAAACAACACAGGTGTCCCAAATATTCCCTTATCTGCTACCAAAGGTCGAGGTTCCTAAAAGTCAAACAGAGTGAATCTAGCAAACAGGCCTCCAGAAGGAGAGTGTTGCCAGGGTGGTCCTGTGGCCCCCCGTGTGTTCCCGTCACCTGGTGGGAAGAGTGAAAGTGAAGGGGTAGTATTTTCTCGAATTATTTAGCACCTCGTTGACAAAGGGAAAGGGAATCTGACCTGGGTGCGAGGCTCTGTCAGGGCTCACGTTTCAGCCGCTACAGCGTGACGCTTTGCCTTTGAGCTGCTCTGCTGTCATCTTTGATGTTTGATCTTTGGCAAGTAGTCACACTTATGATTAAGATCAGACCTTTTTCTTAATCAAAAGTGGTTTGTGCTTCGGGCATTTTTTGCAATATTTAATCATATTTTTAACAACATTTGTAATTAATTTTAACAACAAATTTCAGCTGTGGTCAGAATGCACCCATATCAAGAATGAAGTGGTAGATATAATGTAAAATACATGACTGATGAATCAATACTTGTTCTGTTCACATGAGGGCAGTATTTCATTGCTCGTTCAAAATATGAGAAGTTATTAGAATTTTTAGTTTTAACTTCACTGGAACAAATCAGTGTCTCCAAGATTTGTATAAACAATACATGAGCTCTTGTTTTGGAGCGAAGGGCTGTGTATGTATCTGGTTTACTGCTGTTGAAATATTTAAACAACCTTGTACAGTAGCCAGTGAAGGACAAAGGGGTCTCGTCATCTCCAGGCTCTAATACCTTCCTCAGTCCTGTGTTTGGGTGTGATGGTGCCAGCTGCCTCACTCAGACCAGTCTTAAAAATGTGGAGTTACTGTGTTTTGTCTGTGCACAGTTTACGTTTGAAATGTTAAGTTAGAAGACAGCTCCAAAGGGCAGATATCACACATCTGACATTTGGGTAATTACCTTAAAAATAGTTACCCAAGATTCTTGAATGTACGCAGCTTCTAAATTACAGATTCCAGAGTTGAACATAATGTGCACGTAGAGAGGAGCATCCTCTTTTTTAGACCTTCCTCGCCTTTTCTAATCTTAGGTTTCTTCAGGGGTTGTAGTTTTGTCTCTCATCATGAAAATGTTTCCCGTTACTTTTCCAATAATGACAGAAACAACCTTTTTATTCAACATAAGCAAAACAACATCGTCATTTTGTAAACAATAAAACTGTCACTTACAGAGGAAGCATCTGTCTGGAAACATCTGAGGACAATAATCTGAGGTTCAACGGAGTAGTTTAAACATGACAAACTTCTGGCCCATAAATTTTACAAACTGAACTGATCACACATTTGGTTCAGATGCTCAGAGTCTCTAACTTGAGGACTAGGACAGTGAGTTGGGTAGTTTTTACAAATCATTCTCCTTTAGCCACCAGGACCATGGGTGCTGGAAGTAGGGGTGCTGATAGGGCTGCAGAACCCCCTATAATCTGGCTTAATGAAAACCATTAGTTCATAAAAATGTTTAAACTTATGACTTTCTCCCTTTTTTTTTTCACTGAGATTTACACGTGTACACTGGTATTTATGGCAGGAAGGAGGTTTTGCTTTGTTTTTTATCCACTAAAAAGTTATAAATATATGTAAAATTTTGTTAATAACTATTAAATACTCTAAAAATGATCCTGGTCATTCAAATTAATGCAAAAACTAATGTAATGACTTTAGCATATACTATAAAGCCATTATATGGACTGACTTTCTCTCAGCACCCCCAACTCTGACTGACTTCCAGCGTGATGATTAAAAGTTAAACCTATTACATGAGCAAAACCAGCCAAACTTCTGTCCCTGTACTCAAGTTTTTTGACTCATTACAAATTATTACATTAAAAACAAAACCCATAATTTATCTTATACATCGGTACTTATTTAGAAAAACCGTAAACCCTGATTCACAAAGTTTTTACACCAAAAAAAGCCTGCTTTTAACGTATGACAGCTGACGGCAGATGATCAAACTTATCCATATAGTAGTTATGACACACATAATAGATATATGTGTGTGTGTGTGTGTTCAACCTCTCAGAAATAACACTTTGCTTTCGGTGTAAAACTGTGAATTAGGGTTCTTAAGTAAAATACAATATGATATGACATAAAATAACATTATGCAAACAAAATTAAAAGTAAATATGAAAGTAAATATAAAGAGAACATTTTGTTACTTATCAAATCAAGTTTACTGGCACTTCACTTTGCTTTATTTACAGCAGCAAAGATTTTTGCTCTAAATGACAGACCGGTTCAGCCAAAGCTGCTAAAAAGACACCATGGTGTACAGCAGGCAAAAGGAGGAACACATCTCTATATCACATGAATACTTACTATTTTTCTCATTTCTATTTGGAGAGCATGGAAAATTACAGGCTACGCATTCCTTTTCTTGAATTTCTCCTCTAAAAACAAATCCATATCTGTAAGAAAAACTTTATCTTATTTTATCGTTTAAACTGAACTTCAACAACACAATGATCAGTCTAATCCTTGTTAAACCCCCCTGCTTCAAGACTAAAGTACAAACAGACCACTGAGCTACTTTTAATTTGAAAGGCTGTCGTAGTTTTCTACCAGTCTCCCAGTCAGTGTTTTTAATCTTTGTATGAATCAAAAACAGAATTTAGACATAAATTATGCAGTAGCACAATATTTGATTTCTGGTCACATATCTTCCATCCTGCTGTTTTTCATTTGTACCTTTTTAACACTCACTGAGCCAGTCCCTCACTTTCAATATCACATCTTGGTACAACTTCCTTTCTGTTAAAAACAATGCAAAACTTTCTCGGATCCTCGAACATTAAAGTAAAATAACAGGCACCACACAGTCCTCACTATCAGGTCTCTACACCAAGGCAGTTAGACAAAAAGCAACCCTCAACCCCTCCACAACTCATTCCAACTCATCAGGCCGCCATTATAAAATCTCTCTGTCCTAGCCAGAACAAATTTATTAAAAAACTCATTCACACCAACTGCCATGAACATGATGAACAAGCTATGACGGCTTTTAACTGTAACTGTAAACAGTATGTAGGTCTTAATTTGTCTTTTTTTAAATGCTATGTACAGCATATATTTCTGCTACATGTTTTTTTTTCTCTATCTATACCTGCGTGAGCTTCGTCAAAGTCAAATTTCCGTCGCTTTGTGACAAAGTTTTTCTGATTCAAAATTCTGATTCTTTACATAACACATCAGGCTAACCCTCATTAATGCGTTTCTTCCAGGCAGTTGTAAAACGTTATTTCTGATCTGCATCACAATGGATTTGAAGGACCAGCGTGTAAGATTTAGTGGCGTCTAGCAGTGAAGTTGCAGATTGCAACCAACTTGAGTCTGGATTTGACGACCTGGGAATGAGAACGGGCTGTGAAGCATTATCTACAGCCAGTGTTTGGTTTGTCCATTCTGGGCTACAGTAGAAATGGTGGACTCTGCACCATCTGTAGATAAAAATGGCTCATTCTAAGGTAACAAAAACACAACGATTCATGTAATCGGGTAATTATACACTAATAATACATACCTATGAATATTTTGCTCCATTTCTGCCAATAGAGCCTCCTAAATGTTACACACTGGACCTTTAAAGTTGTTTTTCTCATATGTGTGCAGTATAACCAACCTGTCTGATCTGGTTTTTATCTCTCGTTTGCAACATTTAATGCCATCATCAGCCTTGAACGTGCCCTAGTGGTGGGCCTTTTTCAAATGGCAGGTGCAGACCGGCTGACTGGAGCTGGTGCTGGGGCTCTGCTGCACCTCCTCCCGGTGCTTCGCCTGCTCTTTTTGCTTGGGCTCCTCTCTCCGCTTTTCCACCTCCTCGGCCGCCCTGACCTTTCTGACTTCCTGGCGAGGCGATGACCTGACGTCTCTGCCCCTCTCTCCCACCAGAGCCTTGGAGGGCATGCGCAGGTTCTTGGGGGAGGCCATGCTCTGAGTTTGGACCCTCTTGACGTGGTCGACAGCGTACGGCCTCTCCTGGAGCTCGCTTGAATTCTTGCTTCCACTGGTTTTATCCGCCACATACTTCCTGGGTGGATTAGGAGGCGGTTTGTAGGCCTCCAGCTTGCGCTTATGACTCATGGCAGAGGCACAGCAGATGATGAAGACCATGACGATGAGAAGAGAGGTCACGACGATGATGATGAGCAGATTCTCCTGCAAGAAATCGACTACTCGGGTCAGCACGAAGTCCTTCAGGCGGATCATGGTGGTGGTGATGGTGTTGGTGAGGGTGGGAGCTCCAGTAGCAGCAGTGATGTGAGCAGGTGCTCGAGTGGAGAAAGAGGTTGGAAAAAGGAGCTCCAGCTCTGCTTCATCACCGCTGCCGTCCATCGATATGTTGTAGAACAGAGGAGTGGCGTGGCACACACTGCACCACAGTGAGAGCAGGGTCACACAGGTGACGAGGGAAGCCAAGCGAGACTTCATCTTCTCTTCTCCTGCAACAACAACAACAATGGGACTGGATTGAGAAATACACTTGAGAAGGAAACCAGTCTCACTTCTCTATGTTAATCATGATGCCCGAGTCAGGATGTGATTACCTTAGCAGCAAAATACTGAAAACAGTTAGCTTGGCTTTGTTCAAAGGTAACAAACTCCACCGACAAGCACCTCTAAAGCTCTTTAATTAACACTAATTGTATCCAGTTTGTTTAATCTGTACACAAACAGAAATGTCCTTGACAGGACTCCAGTTTTAGAGGAACTGGTCGGTGTATGTTTTAACTTTGGACAGGTCCAGGCTAGCTGTTTCCCTCTGTTTCCATTCTTTGTGCTAAGCTAAGCCACTCGCCTCTCAGCTCTAAGTATTCACTGCTCAGAGTGGCATTGATCTTCTGATCAGACTCACAGCAAAATGAGTGCATTCCCTACAATGTCAGTGTCACACACTGTATGTGAGTTCATGATTGTAAAATGCAAAGATTAGGAACTTTTAATCATTTTGTGACCCGTTAGATTTTTCTCTCAACCTGTTGATGGGGCCCAACCCTCAAGTTGGGAACCATTATATATATATCAGACACATATTGAGAAAGTAAAACAACTTTCCAAAGAGCTACTTCCATCTGAAATGTAACTCCAGCATCCATCTCGACTCAGGTTTTTCTAGGTTTTCTGCCCTTCCTCATTTCGCACCAGATCTATTTTAGCAGGCAGCAGAGTAGCCATTACTTATTTGGGGTGGAGACAGCGAGTTTGGCGCTGGAGGCCTTATAATTTGTAAAGTAGAGGGAGGCCACCCATCCACCACACCAAAGCTAGGAGGAAGCTTATTCCACAGGGAGCACAGAGGCGTGGGAGACCTGTGGCTGCGGCCTCTATATTTACACTGGGCAGCAGCTGCTGTACACCAGGCCACAGCAGCACAGACCTGATGAAGATATTTCTGCTTCCAGGGAAAACCTGCATTTACAGACAAAGTGCAACTGACTGAATAAACTTTTCCAACCCAATATTACTATTCTTCCATTATTCTCCCTCCATCCTTTTTAAAGTAAGGTCAATCTTTAACAAAGAAAACTGCCACCAGTGGAACTCAGTCTGTTACCATTTAAAGCCTGTTTAACTCTTTACACAGTGTGTAATTACATAGCGCTAAGCTGTGAAGACAAGCTTCTAATCAGCATCATGCTATAGTGAACCTGCTCTGATTTACACTGTACAGTGTGAAACCCCCCTCCTCCCTCCCTGTGTGGTCAGACATACAGTATGTGCTCTGCTGGACCAGATGGTAGGCTGGGTCTTCAACCTTGTATGTACAGCTATAGGACGCCACTGCCCCCTGAGTCCGCATAATTACAGCCATGACTATATTTCCTGTATTTCACTGGAGGGTCCACATTACCGTCAACTGAAGGCCACCAGACACCACATGTAATTAATCCATTTCATGACAGTGGAGAACTTAATGTCTCAAACTCCTCTTTTTCCCTGAGTTTCTTTAAATTTACAAAAAGTTCTCACCACACTGTTTGAAAAGTCCTAGATGTCTTGGACGTCATTTATTAGACATAAAACAAAAAATTCAGTCTGACATACGTAGTAGTTTTAGAAAAGTCACTCCAACCTGAGTGTCAACCATAAAATTTAAAATTAAGGTAAGAAAGTTCTAACAATACTTGGCCAGACAACACAAATGTGCAAAGATGGAGCCACTGGAAGAGATTAGACCATCTCAAATCATATTCTTACATAAAACATTATCGATGTCTACACTTTTACTAAAGTAAAACCATGTAATGATATTCCACTACAAGTAAAAGCCCTACACTATAAATCTTAATTATTAACTAAATGTACTTAAAGTATCAAAAGTAAAAGTATTCGTCATGCAGAATTACATTGGTATATATCATTATTTGATTATTATAGTTGTGGAGCTCATTTTAACTACATTATACTGGTTTGGTGTTTAATCTGTATCAATGCAACATATTTTATAAGCTGATCACACATTTTGTATGAAAAATCTTAATTTGTAAAGTAACTGTAGCCATCAAAAATTAAGCGAAGTAGAAGTATAAAGTAGCACAAAATGGAAATACTTGTGTAAAGTACAACAATCTTAGTGCACTTAAGTACAGTACGTAGTTACATCCCACCACTACATGTTAAATAACAAGAATTTAACAAACGGATCATAACATTTTAACCTTTACTCGGACACACAGACTGCAGTTACACTTTAGTTGATAACAACCATTTTAAATTCACAACAAATATAAATACATACTTACAGAATGAGTTATCCTGGGGTTTCTCTTCTGAGCAGCACAGCGCGGTGCAGAAGACAGAGAAGGAAATAAAGTGATGAGAGGAAAGTAAGAGTGAAAGAGGGTTTCCGAGCATCCGCCCTCCCTACTCAGTTAGACCTACTGTTTTTTCTCCCTCCTTGAGCTCTAAAAGGTCTCCTCGCTGCAAAATGATGATCCATCCCTCTATTTTCAGCTTCTCCTCCCTCTTTCTCAACCTCCCAGTTTTCATTCTCCTGCACTTAACCTTTTTGGATTTTTTTTTTACTGTACATTTTATTCTGATATTATAAAGGGGCGTCTGTGGCTCAGTAGGTAGAGCAGGTCGCCTACTAACTGCAAGAGTTGGTGGTTTGATTCCCTGGCTCCCCCCTTCTCCATGTGTTAAATGGTCATTGAGCAATACTGAACCCCAAGTTGCTCCCTGATCACCCACTGCTCCTAGAGTGTGTGACCAGTCGAATACAGAGGAGAAATTTAAATTAAATGTATGTATAATTTTTTTTCAAAAAGTTATTTTTTTGGCCTTTTTATTGCCTTTATTTGATAGGGACAGCCGAAGATAGACAGGAAAGTGGGGTAGCAAGGACTCAGCCTCAGTACATGGGTCGCCAGCTCTACCGATTGAGCTAACCGGGTGCCCAAATGTACGTATAATGAATGAGAATAAAGGCTTAAAAGGCCGTGATTCTGTACATAGAGACATGGAGTAATACTATAATAACACTGTTTCTAGAGTGGGTCTTCATTTTGTAATAAAGTGTAATATATAACACAATGCGTGCTTATTTATTCAAAGCAGGACTTTCTGGTTGAAAACTCAGTGCAAAGACACTGCAGTTGGTACATCAGTCCCATGTTTTAGGGAAATGGGTATTTCTGTACTTGGCGGGGCGAGTCCCAAGACTCCTCTGCCTCCCACTGAGTCCTCTCTAATTAAGTCCCCGTTGATTACAGCCTGTCTCCACAGGGCATACAAGACCAGCGCAGAGAGAAAGCACCCCTTTTATCCCGAGAAACACATGTACAGAGCGAACATATAAACTTCATGGTCTTTTACGGGCACTTATCTCTGGATACGTCTCTAAATATGCGGGGACGGCTATTTAAGGGCTGCTCAATCCTCCTTTCTGCTCTCATTCAGTTGTTTTGACAGCCAGTGTGAGATATTAAAGCTGCTCAGACTGAGAGCTGAAGTGTGAACAAGGTAGCAATCTTTCCAGTGATCCAGGGATTATTACAATAAAGGGATTATTTCTGTGTCTTTGCCTTAAAATAGTTCTGTGTTTCGGATTCATGCTGTAACAGACTTGTCATTGAGTGTTATAAAGTACTGAAATAGTGTGTTTAGTTATTTTTAGTGGCTCGAACACAATAGACTAAATGTAATAGATCATGTTCAAAGTAACATGTCCGCTCACATTTATACTGTGTATTGTCTGTGTTCTGCAAACTGCAGAAAACCATTCATATATTTTAATTTTGTCTTCAATTCAGGGAACTGTACATGGCAGCGGCCACCCCTACATGTCTAA